TTATGTCCTGTTACATGCATCTCGCTGTTTGAGGGATCCAGCTAAGACATGTATCATACAGTGTGTCATCTCTTGCTAGCCTAACATTGTAAAGTAATCGCCATTTAACCAGAGGAAATAATACTTTTTCTTTGTCTTGGATTATTGGCTCTAAGGCTATGAGTTTTCTACCAAAACTTTCACTTGCATTTTTTTCTAGTATTCTGACAGACTTGTAAAATGGTACTTCTTACATATATGCTATAGCCCTTGGTCTCAATATGCTTTTTATGATATATTCTTTTAGATCTAGAGAGCACTCATCGTGGCCATAACCATTCTGTTTGCGAAAAGATGTGAACATTCTCCTAAATAACCGTTTCAGTGGTGAGAACGGTACTTTCGTTTACTGCGTCTCTCATATTTGTTGCTGACATTGCGAATATCACATAAATTCGCTTGCTTCTTTGAAAGTTTCATTTCTGATTCAGTGAACGCGTCTACATCGTTAAATTTATCATCTATACTTTCCAACAGACGAAGCAGTTGCTTTAGTTCATTCACAAACAAATTTAATTCAATAAAACCTACATATTCTATTATATGAGTATAATGGTGTGTTTACAAAGTTGTTCCTAGTACACTATACTATCTTTAGGCACACTTGTCGAGCTATGCTATATAAGTGTTTAATATTGTAAAATACTGCACAATTCTAACAATGTAAAGTATAATGCAAATAATACTTTCATACAGGTTAAATAATTTTTGCATTCGTACATTACATAGATTCTAACCCAACAGAGAAATTTTAATTCGTACTCTATGGAGATTCGAACCCATGTCCGCGTGTAAACAGCACCCATCGCCTATACATGACTATGCACGATTAAGACATGGATTGTCCATAATTGTAAGTTGTAAGCATAATGTTTGGGTTGTACTTTCATTTACTGCGTTTCTCATATTTGTTGTTAACATTGCGAATATCACATAAATTCGCTTGCTTCTTTGAAAGTTTCGCGTCTGATTCAGTGAACTCGTCAACATTGTTAAATTTATCATCTATACTTTCCAACAAAACCTACAGATTCTACTATACGAGCGTAATGGTGTGTTTACAAAGTTGTTCCTAGTACACTATACTATCTTTAAGCACACTTGTCGAGCACGTGTATGCTATATAACAGTGTTTAATATTGTAAAGTACTGCACAATTCTGACAATGTAAAGTATAATGCAAATAATACTTTCATACAGGTTAAAGAAATTTTGCATTCGTACAATACTTAGATTCTAACCCAACAGAGAAATTTTAATTCGTACTCTACGGAGATTCGGACCCAGGTCCGCGTATAAAAGGCTCCCATCGCATAAACATGACTATGTATGACTATGACCTGGGTTCAAATATCGTAGAATACGAATTAAAAATTCTCTAACCTGTATGATAGTATTATTGTATTAATTTTTAATTCTGCCTACTATTATGAATCATTCTTCTATTGAATCTTTACACTATCATAATATTGCACTATTCTACGATACTGAACATCTTGATATTGAACACACGTGCACGACACAATATTATACTGATTTAGGAACTAATGTGCAAACAAACCATGTACGTATAAAGTGAACAATGTGGAAGAGTTTACTGAGTCACAAATGAACGTTTCGAACAAGTGAATGAATGAACGTGATTATCTCAGAGTCCACATCAAATGTGGGATACGCAGAATTGAAAATACCATTCGTATATTGTTTTGGATTGTGACAAACCAGCCGCTTTGCAATTTTCCACATTTAAAGTTTTGATATAATGTTTCAGACTTAGGCTAGCGATAGACCCCATACATGTTAATAGCTGGGGTGCCTGCTAAAACCACGAATACATGTATTTTGTTTGGAACTATCAATGCTAATAAATCTGGATCCAGCGGAATTTTAATTTCAATTTTAAGCAGACCAAAAGCGAAACTTCTTTATGAAAGTGATGTCGAACGCGCGACTAAGTTCAAATTTCGCTGGGTGGAGTAATGTGCATAAATATTGTTGTTGCATATTGATGAACCTGCGCTTGTGTATTTATTTTGGAATACAGCATAAATTCAATTAATTTGTTTATTTTAGTGTATTTTTTTACTTAATTAAGCCTTTGTTGCATCTCGCTTATATTGTCGGTCACATCTGCTTTACCTGTTACGAATTTTCTTCCTTGCAACAATAGATATGTTGAATTCTCGTTTGCAATCTTTTAACTCTGGATAAATGGAACTACGCACCTTTGGTGCTGCTAGATATTGCTATTTCCGTGTTTTTTATGTTTATATAATACTAATTCTTTTTCTATCCGTGACTTATCGAATTTATTCTTTTTAAATAAGAATAAATGTCTGAGAAGTGGATATTTTGAAATTAAAGAATTTAATAATCCTGCATATGAAGATGATGGTATGGTGGATACCCACTATTGCAAGTTGGTGATACGGTAGTATTTCAAGTCAAAGTTAAGGACATCTTGAAAATGTTCTAAGCGAAGGCACTAGTATTTCACGCCAAATTATTTACCTGTTCCGACCGGTCATGAAGACAGGCCTTAACTTGACCTAATTACGGTGTAGATTGTAAAAAAGCAACATTTGGATACCCTAAAGTCACATTATTTATCAAACGCTACACCGACAGTTACTTCAATTTTCGAAGAAGGTAAAATGAAATGTTAGCAAGCAAACACTACTATCATAGCAAGTAAAGCTGGAGGGAACAAATTACGCTAAGTTTGCACAAAAAACCCACCGGTTTATTCAAGTACTTCATGCAGACACTATGTATCAATGCTCCACTTTCACAGATGCACATAAAAAAGAAACACATAAGATCCTTGATGAAAATGAAATAAAATACAAGACAAAAATTGGCTGTGTTATAGGCAGGTAAAGGAAGCAGCGGCTAAAATTGACGAATTAACGAGGCATAATTTAAAGCTAAAGGCAGACACCCGTGGTGAAGAAAATATACAATAAGAAAAGGACAGGCAACAGAGGCTATGCTAATGATGTAGAAGATATGAAATCGAAAACAGACTATCTCGAAAAATATTACGAACAGCAGAGTCCCAAACGAATAGCATCAAAAGCGCCATAAAATTTGTATTGCAAGAACATTTATAAAGCACTGATAAAAATCGAACGCATTTAGAAGGCAAAACTAAAGAAAAATACAAATACAGGTCACTATTTTCATTTCAAAGTACCATACGTTAATGCAGCTTGATATGTGTCCCAATACCAAATTGTTTATGGTATTTCAGTTAATGTCTCCACATTTAAAGTTCAAGCCCTGTCCACTTTCGTTTATATAGAAGGGCATTTAGCAAATGATTAAACTGTAAAATTTTAAGGTGTTTTGTACTTTATCCCAATGATATGAATGATGCTTAAACTACATCCATAAGTACCTGTTGACGTATAATCACAAATTATACCACGTAGTGTGAGAATAACTGGTAAACTATTATAATGCTTCATTAAACTTGTCTGTGTCGAGTTTCGTAAACTGTCATTTCAAATTGCCAAGCTACTAGATAATTATAATAAAACAATAAGTTAAGGACTTGCACGCAACAAAGTATGAAACAATATTGCAGAAGACAGTATAATGCAGACGACTACCTATAGTGGCTTGCCTTTTATTTAGAGAACAACGCTGTTTACTTTATAAGAGTATTTACTTCCTTATTCATAAAGATTATTTTTGTTTGATTCCACGTCCGTTATCAATGTATTCAGCAACCTTTTTTTCAACGTACATTTTTAACGTATACATCAACCATTTCTTCCACGTCCCTTATCAGTGTTTACATCAACCTTTTCGTCCACGTAACTTATCAGTGTTTACTGTAACCATTGGTCTATGTCCCATATCAGTGTTTACATCAACCTTTTCTGACACGTATCTTATCAGTGTATACAGTAACTTTTCCTAACACGTCCGTTATCAGTGTTCACATCAGCCTTTTCTTCCACGTTCTTTAATAATATTTTACATCAACCTTTTTTTCCGCGTACCGTATCAGTGCCTACAGCATCCATGAACAGATCACGGATTTAATACAACACATTTAAGTCTGCTTTAGGGCTGGAAGGAGGCTCTTGAAATTGCTCATCTGAAATTTCTTTTATAAAATTTGTTTTGTAGATATATAATTTATATTGCTTGATTAATGTTTGTCCAAGATTGTAAGTTGTAAACTAATGTTTCGGTTGTATTTGAGTTCAAGATCTTGTTTCCAATTAGACTTGAATTTTCCATTGGAATGATTTAGATCTAGGTCAAGTGAAAATGTGTATCAATCGGAATCTAATAAAACAATAACTCATTCCTGTAGTACGTCAGTCTCTAGCAATGCATTTTTGATCAGAGTTTACATTTGTGTTCATTTATAATTCAAGAGAAACTATTTTTAAAAAATATTTATTGGAATTACTGAAGCGATTATTGTGAATTCATTGAAAGACATTCATTGTGTTATATCAGTACATTTAAGATATTGGAACATTCATTCGGAACATTCTGTAATTTTGGGTATGTATGTATGTATGTATGTATGTATGTATGTATGTATGTATGTATGTATGTATGTATGTATGTATGTATGTATGTATGTATGTATGTATGTATGTATGTATGTATGTATGTATGTATGTATGTATGTATGTATGTATGTATGTATGTATGTAAAAGACAAACACAAAACAAAGACAAAGGCAGACAAAAGGCAAGACTCCTGAAATTGTTACCACTCTATGGTCTTACACAAGTAACAGAATAGAGCGAAAACCAACAAGATTTGTAAAATTCAAAAAATAATTTATCTAGAATACAAAGTGAAAATTTGAAAAGAACTTACAGGATTGTGAATTAAATCTAAAATAGTCATGAAAGTTTATCACAAGGCAAAATTATAGAGTTTCGAACTATCTCCAGTAGTGTTTCGAATTAATTCCAATCATGAAAGGGACCACTCCGGTAGCCTAGTGGTTAGAGCGTCCGTCTCGGATGTGTGAAGTCGTGGATTCGATCCCCAGCCGAGTCATACCAAAGACTTATAAAAATGGTAGTCACAGCAGTCTCGCTTGGCGATGGGCATTAAGGGGTTAATGTTAGGACTGGTCGGTTTGTTGTAAGGATAATGTGACTGGGTGGGACATCATGCTACATGTCTGCAGCATGAATTCCCAGTTATAGTTATATAACAAAGTACAACAGCCAACACAGAACACAAATTCAGTCGCACATGAAAGATGGTGAAGTGGGGGATGAGACATAAATTAATCTGTGAGTTTAAAACAATTAAAAAAATGTCGTTGCTTTCTATTCAACTTTATCAACCCCAGTTTTCGAATAAATTGTACCAGCGATCTGTGGACTAACATATATCTCTTTCTTACAGTTAACTAGCCATCACTGTTCCAGGGGCATGCGTGAGAGGCTCGTGAGTATGTGTGTGTGTGTGTGTGTGTGTGTGTGTGTATATATATATATATATATATATATATATATATATATATATATATATATATATATATATATATATATATATATATATATATAAACAATGCGGTAATGTATATACAATTTCAGATTAATTTCCTAAAATTGTCTCTAAACCCAAAAGGTTATTTAAAAAATGAAACAGATTAAATCATATATTGGTAGTATTAAACTTGGTTTCTTAAACCTATAAGTATAAAGATCAGTGTAAATATAACTAATTTGATTATAAAAGACGAGAATTATAGTCAGTAAACCAATAAAGCCGTGATGGCAAAACAGATTTCCAGCTGGCATCTGTACACAATTTATAAAATCCGGTTCAGAACCCACGAATGTAGTCCCAGTCTATTTTTAGATTACTTTTTACTGTCTCTGATTGGTGGTATTACAAGAGCTAGATTTTGGCATTCTTGGTAAAGATTTAAAGGCAATTGTTTATTCTTTAGAATGTGAGCTTTTGGTGTGGTTGTCTGTGTGTATTTCGGCGACAGTGTACGTTGAGTAATAAGGTCATGGTGATGATCCGGAAGTGAAATCTGTGTTCCGTTGCATGGTGTTTTGTTTACAATTCAGCCTCTCAAAAAAAAAATGCAGGTCATCCCTTGACAAGAACTTCACCGTAATGTCATCTTTGAAGGTATTTTAGATTAACATATGATTTGTAGTGATTGTCACACAGTGGAAAGTTTAGTTCTTGTATTCTATGGCCTACTGAGTGGTCAACACAGCTACTCATGGCAGCAAAATTCCCGGGGTGGGGAATCGGTGTCGGAGCACGGATTTTAAAGTATAAAATCTCTTTTTGTTATTTTTCTTATTTTGTTCGTAAAAAACAAAAAAAAGCTATTAAATTTTGACATTATTAAAGGGCAAATACCTTTTGAATGCCCTGGTTTTAAGGCTTTGTTGGGGGTGAGTGGGAATGGCGACTGACATTACCAGGGATGGGTGGGTCAGAAAATCATAAATCCGCTTCTGGTGGGTTGTGGTGGCATAGGTGTGTTCATACCTTGTAATAAAAAATTATACTTGTAGGAAGGAATGCCCAACAAAACGCAAATAAATTGTCACACACACACACACACACACACACACACACACACACACACACACACACACACACACACACACACCAATATTCCCTAAGTTCCAATACAGGACCCAAGATGAATTACGTGCAGAATCTTATTTAGGTTGAATTTTTTTATTAGTTTGGATTATATATAGGCATGGAAATACTTGGGGTTTTCCATTTCCATAGCTATAAATAGCGTTTCTAAACAAGTCAGCGTTACCGATAAATTATAAACGAATATAGCTACCGAACAAATTATGAACGGCATCTAGGTGAGAATACTTGTCAGTCTGCATGTAAGTGAAGAACTTAGTGAAATGTTAACAGAATCGACTGCAATACATTGGCTTGTTATGTTTTTGTTAGAAATATGTAACGATATATATATATATATATATATATATATATATATATATATATATATATATATATATATATATATATATATATATGTATATATATATATGTGTGTATATATATATATATATATATATATATATATATATATATATATATATATATATATATATATATATATATATATATATGTGTATATATATATGTGTGTGTGTGTGTGTTTGCATTGTTTACTCATACAGTGTGTCGCGGTTCAGTCATTATCTTGACAGGTAACGAGGTGAAACTCGAAAAAGAAAGAAACTTGGCATTACTTTGAGTTACATATTATTTATTAGTGTTACTTCTACACTCTCTGAACTTTTATTTTACTAACATTTATTAGAGGGTGGGTTGGTATTTTCTTTTTGTAATATTGATTGTTTTTTGTATTGCATAATGAACTGTCAGATTAAAAATTGCAATGTATTATGCATTAAATGCAGAGAGTACAAATACAATAAGATATAAATACTCTTTTTCAGCTATCTTACCGAGATAATGAGATAATTAATTAAAATTGGTACTGCTTCGGTTACAGATAAATAATTTATAAAACTTCATTAAAATATTTGTGACGTATGAAATAAAACTATGTTGGTATACTTGAAAACTACTTTTAATGATTTATAGTTAGAATTTTAATTCGCTGATTTCAATAATCGTTTTAAAGAAATAATTTCTCCTTGTTCATTGCGGATTTAAAATATCAATTATTTTATTAAAACTAACAAACAATAAATGACAGCTCTAACTTCACACAAATTATCAAGCAAAAACAACAATTTTTATATAAAGAATATAAATCATATGGCAAATAATAGCCATTTCAAGCACACTCGATCCAGCAAGGGAGCATGTGTGTCATGAATCGATTGACATAGATGCAATAACCTGACGACGAACAAGGCAAAACTAGTATCTAACTAACCTTAGCGCTTATTTAGTATTTAGATTGAGACATAATGCACCTAAAGGTATAAACAGCCACCTAGAGGTTTGAAAACACAACTTTTTTGTTTTCTTTGTTTTGTCTAAGTTTTGTGCATGCTTTTGAAAAAGACTCATTAAGAGTAGAAAGCGCTCAGGCTAGTTCGATACTAGTTTTGCACTGGAATATTTGTATACTATTGGTATATCAAACTGTGATCAACCCATGGTGCAATAATAAACATATATAAACATTCTCCCAACTGTGTGCTGTTGATTCTAGGTCAATGATGAATTTCCACACATTTATCATTAGTGACGTATGAAAATAAAAATAAAAGGTAGTAATAATTACCGTTTTCAAGATGAATTTAGTATGGTACATACGTTCCTAGCAATTTTTTCTGCTTTTTGTTCCCCTCCCCTCTAATGCATAACCGTCAAACTATACAGAAGTCTGGAGTGAGTGAGAAAAAGAATTTGTGCTAGATAAAGACCTTGAAATTGAACTTACACCAATTAACCTACAAGAATAAGATTCTTCGTAACGGTATGTGTGCACATACCTTGGGAGTTATCTACAGTGTTTATATAATCAATGATACAAAGTTGCAAACTCTGTCGACATTATGTATTGTTGTTGTTTCTTAAACCTATTACAATATTCTAAAAATCGATTATTATTAATTAAAAAGGAAAATGTACAAGGCCCCCTTCTCTGTCTGTCTGTCTCTGCCTCTCTCTCTCTCTCTCTCTCTCTCTCTCTCTCTCTCTCTCTCTCTCTCTCTCTCTCTCTCTCTCTCTCTCTCTCTCTCTCTCTCTCTCTCTCTCTCTCTCTCTCTCGACCATCGCAGCAAGTGACCGCACCGGTGGCCTCTGGTGGTTATAGCGTCCGCCTCGGATGCGGGAGGTCGTTGGTTCAATTCGATCTCCGGTAGTGTTTTGAATTAATTCCAATCTTGAAAGAGACCACTCCGGTGGTCTAGTGGTTAAATCGTCCGCGTCGGCATTAAGAGGTTGGTGTTAGGACTGGTCGGCCTGTTGTCAGGATGATGTTACAGGGTGGGACATTGTGCTAGAAACTGCCACATTGGAGACCTCGTAGCGATATGACTGAAATTTTTGTAAAGCTACGTTAAAAATCCAAATAACACAAACACTCGAAATAATACAATAAGTTCAATCTCTGAGTTTTTTAACTGTACAGTTTTTGCATCTATTTAAGTTTAAAATGTTCAGTTTAAATTTATGTAGGTGACACACGCAAACACATATTATATATATATATATATATATATATATATATATATATATATATATATATATATATATATATATATATATATATATATATATATAATTTTATCATGTTCGTGTACTCACGAGAGAGAGAGAGAGAGAGAGAGAGAGAGAGAGAGAGAGAGAGAGAGAGAGAGAGAGAGAGAGAGAGAGAGAGAGAGAGAGAGAGAGAGAGACTTCTTCCGTAATTGACATAAATGAAAAGTAACCATCGGAAGTAAAATTAAAAATAATGAAGACTTAATGAATATCACTCTGATTTAATTCAAGAGCGCGAAATCAATAACGCTGTGAATGGGGGCGGCATGAGGATTTCGTACTTCACAACAACGGGCATCCAATCACACCTATAAGCCAGATTGCCAAACAAAACTCTACGAATCGTTCCCCACCTCCTACATTTTAGCATTACCATAAGGAGCTAAGTGCAGGATACTAAATGGCTTACATACAGAACCTTTTAAAAGTATTTAGGTTGAACATTGTAAGTGCAGTTGTATCTGAAACCATTAATTTGGAACATGCGGTCTTCGTATGTGAAGTTAAAATGTCTAACATTGGATATGCATTGCCTAGGTTTGATTACTTTAATGTGTGTTTGTGTGTGTGTGTGTGTGTGTGTGTGTGTGTGTGTGTGTGTGTGTGTGTCCACCACTTGATGCGAGTGTCATTTCCAGTTGGTGTAAGGAAGAAATCTGTCTATTTTAAAGACAAAAAGCTCAAAGGTCAAGGTTACTGTGGCTGAAAGAAGAAAAATGGTTTCCATACAGTAACTCAAGTTGTCCACGATCTACAGTCTCCAAACTTATAGGATGACTTTTAAAAAGGACAAGGCTGTCACTTTTTGTGTCGATTGTAAAGGTCATTATGACGAAAACAAGTTTTCTACACAAAAAATGTTATATATTATAAATATACTAAATATATAATAAATATATATCGCCTTCATCATGCTTCCTAAGGGCACCAGACTTCAATACAGGGTAACCGCAACAGATGAAGAACAAATATGAAGCAAAATTAATTGTTGAAAATAAAAAAGGATCACATGACCAATTGCAGGCATGGAAGAAAATTAGGAAAGCATTTTACTCGGTTTTTCTCATAAAATGGCTTTCAGAGTTATACGAGTACCCCAGGCAATCGAAACTTAAGATTAATTATCTCATTTAGACGAATGCTACCCTAGAAATCAGCCATACAAGTTTGATACATCCATACATACGCCTCATTAAAGATCAGAGTATGTCTGATACATAAAGCTGTATATCTGGTTCACACGGTTAATACAAACTTATTGGAATCAAAATTACACGCGTTGACAGAAAAAGGAGTATAAACTATGGGTGAGACAGGAGTGATTTTTTGATTCAATAAATGTTATGAATCTCGTAATCTGATTATGTATGTATGTATGTATGTATGTATGTATGTATGTATGTATGTATGTATGTATGTATGTATGTATGTATGTATGTATGTATGTATGCATGCATGCATGCATGCATGCATGCATGCATGCATGCATGCATGTATGTATGTATGTATGTACGGATGTATCTATGGATGTGTCTCTGTATGTGTGTGTGTGTTTGAGTGTGCTTGCGTGTGCGTGCATATTCGGATGCATGTTTTTATGCATGTATGCAGATTTACTGTATATCAGCGCAATCCTGGCTATATAGTGCTCAGTAAATATGTGTATTTCGAAAAGGCACACAACAAAAATATAAGGCAAACAAAGGACAAAAATTTCTAATATAGAGTCAAATTCTTTATATAACCACACTATTCTGAAAGCCCAAGCTGTACCATTAAGCTGTGAGCACTGCAGGGCAAAAATATTGCCGTTATTAGTCGCCTTTGACAGCATTAAGGTCGGTGGATCGAACATTTTCTATATACTCGAGACCATAAAGAAACAAATTGCGTATTGAGACACGAGTAAATTTCTTCGAGATAAAAAACAAATAGAAAAAGGTTTTGCTGTTTGATACTCGTCTTTATCTAACCCAAGTTTCGAATAAATACTAGCATCAATCTCTGTGGACTAACACTTTCTTTTAACAGTTACTTAGCCATAACTAGTCCAGGGGCATGCTTCAGAGGTTATCGAAAAGCTTTTTTAAAAATGCAATAATTATATATATATATATATATATATATATATATATATATATATATATATATATATATATATATATATATATATATATATATATATATATATATATATATGGACTGGTTGAGACATAATACATCTAAAGGTTTAATTCATGTAGAAACAGCCATGTAGAGTTTTGCAAACACAATGTTTTTGTATTTTATTTGTTTTTTCTATGTTTTTTATGACTTTGAAAAAGACTCATTAAGAGTCGAAAGCACTCAGACTAGTTAGATACTAGTTTTGCACTGTTCGTCGTCCCTGAAAACAGTGATCCTTTGCTGGAGCCGTGCGCTTGAAAGGGCTGTTATTCGCCATATGATTTCATTTCAAAGTGTAAATAATAATAAGATGATAATAAGTACAAAGTTTCGGGCTGATTTACCAAGTTTTTTCCTATTTCGATTAAGGTTATTTCAAAACGGAGCATCATGAAATAACCATGTTTAAAAAAATGGGTAGATTAATTTTGGCTTCTTAAACATAAACTTATTTTAAAAAATAGAGAAGAAATAGGTTCTGATTCGATGTTGCCATTACTTAAAGGCAAAGGTCTTGTAAACCTCTGGGTATATGGCTTTGTATGGGGCAGGTGGGTGGAGGGCGGTAATTTCGACATTGCCTAGGCAAAAATCTATCATTAGAGGGAATGGTTATCATTTGTGTATTCGTTCCTTTCGGAATGCTAAACAAAACGCTCAGAAATGTCACACACACACACACACACACACACACACACACACACGCGCACACACACACACACTCCTACCTACCTCAATTTTTAACGTCTAGTGTAGGATCAGAGACTGCAAAAGTTCAGATCCTTCCAAACTTATTTATGTTAAAATTGTAAGAGCAGGTGCAGTTGAAGGTATTTTTTTTTTTAAATAAGATCTGGATAGATCATACCCTGGACAGTTGCCTACAGTTTCACAAAATGAGAATTTCATGTTAACAGAAATGTATAACATTTTCTCGAAAACTAAGAAGGTTCAGTGGCGTGAATTTACATGCTTTGTGTTGTCTTTCAAACAAAACCCCAATATTTTATTAATTTATTGATACATGATTACTTCAAAAGCGATCAACCTGCTTATTTTGGAAATCTTTTGAGTAAGAACTTAGGTGTTCTATTGACTTTTGTTCAGGTGAATTTTAATCATAACTTTGTGTATTTACATCTTAATAAGGGCCACAATCATCTGCAAAAAGATAAATAAATAAAAATTAAAAAAAGAAAAGAACGAATAAAGGGGAAACAATATTGGATATACTATTTATACCAACGAATATAGGAAACTCCCACGTTTATCGTGTCTATATTTAATCAAATTAGTATTCTAAATTTAGATTCCAAGCCACAATAAGCTACATGTAACCATTCGAAATATTCTTTCCTAGAATAGTTATATACTAGTACATGGAATAGTAGACCAAAAGGTTGATTATTCCCACTCAAGACCCCGGTTTGGTGTAAACATAGAGCAGTAAAAATAAAGGTATTTTCCAATATTTATTTCTATAAATAGTATGCTGGGATTTTTCACAGAACCACGCCAACGTCTGTAAAGAAACTGCTATCGTTTGAGGTTAGTATATTCGAATCAAGTCGGGTGAAATTCGTGTTTTACGTGGCCTACTGAAACAATATAATATATTTGCATTCATACATGCTATCTAAAGTTATCACTTTCGGAATGGAGTGTGATTGGAAAGAGAGAAAAAATCTCATTATAATATTTTCTGTTACTGAATGTTTCGCTGTACATAAAGGTAGAAATCGAAGGGCCCCGAGTGGCCGAGTGGTCTAAAGCGCTGTCCGCTACGGATCACTGCCATCTCACCTCTATCTGCGTGGGTTCGAGTCTAAGATTCGGCGAATGTGGATATGTGAGAGAGCTTGCCAGTAGCTTCTCGTGGGTCGGTGGTTCTTTCCGGTGATTTCCCGGTTTCTTCCTCCACCATTAATACTGGCCGCCATGTATAGCCTTTCCTGTGCTGAAAAATGGCGTTAAACCCCACAACAACAACAAAGGTAGAAATTGTGTTGACAGAGACTGAAGTAAGAGATGATCTCCCGTTCTGTGACACATATTTTTTTTATAAAAAGACTCTCCTTAGATAAAATTTTTATGTTTATTAGAAGCTAACTAACAGCGAGTTTTAATGCCTTACAAACGAGATAGTGGGTGGGAAATACACAAACATAGACTTGACGTACTTCATACACTTTACTTCATAACATATTGCATATTAACTTAAAAGAACAGTTAAAAGAAATAAAGCTAGGAATTTAAGGAAACAATCCTAATCAAGAATGTATAGTTAACAAATGAAATACAAGCAATATCTGGTTTTCTTACATTTTTCGTTCAGAAAGGAATGTGTACTAACACGTCTGCACCAAGACTCAAGTCAGTGTTCTATTACACCAATCAAAACTTACAAGGATCCGCGAGCTGTGGCTGTTCTTAATA